CTCTGCAGCTCTGGCTGAGATGCCAGACACAGTTAGAGTCCAAGAGCCACTTAGCACTAAGACTCAGCAGCTGTTTGCTCTGGCCTGCTGTCCCACAGTGCCAACTTCAGGACCACAGTAGAAAAGGACACACTCCTCTGCCCGCTCACATTGTTCCAGAGAAACTGCTGTTTTAAGATGAAGCTTGTGTGTGTGTCAAAGACAGAGCTGCCCACACAGGATACACTTTTTATGGTGGTATGCCTCTGGCAAAAACTTTAAAGTAGCTGGCTTTATTTCGGGGAGGATATGTCAGTAAAGGTCTCGAAACTTTTCTTGTTGCTCTAGTTATTTTTAAGTGCTTTGTAGCGGCCGATCTCATGGCCAGTCGCGCTCCGCTGCGATGAACTGTTGTTTTTGGCTGGCGTTTAAGGTGGAACTGATCATGGTTCAGAGACAAGCTGGTTAAGGCCAGCACCAGGCCACACACAACAAGCACATACCAGGGAGATTTACATGCTATGCCAGCCAAAAGTCTTGCTTTTCACAAGCAGCAGGGCCGTGTGGGAGGACAGGTTCCATTTTGCTACTTATGTGCATATATAAAAAGAAAATATATATACCATGCTAAATGCAAACCCCAACCACCCACTTACCAAACAGACACATTTACCCAGGTCATCTATTTGAGACACCAAGTCTCCGAACTCTTTACCTTAATTTTCTGCCCATACACTCTTCTGCCTTCCCTCTCCTGGCTTCCAGGGATGGGGACTTATGTCATGAACACTCGGCGGGATGAAACGAGGAAAGCCGGCATGCTAACGCCCCGAGTGCGAGTCCAGTGCCCACTGGACTCGCACTGCAGCACTGGAAGAAGAGATCTCTTGCTGGCACTGCAACAAAGACACCGACGGGTCTGCGCCCCCAATGAAGGCCAGTGGCATGATTTCATGTTCCAGAGGAGCTGCCAAAAATTGCAGTGAATGCGTGTGAACAGACAGCGTAGCGAAGACGGGAGGGAGGTCAATTCTGAGAAAGTCGAGCAGCGAGGAGGAAATGACAACCAAGAATATGTAACTGGCTGCAATAAATAGTTCAACATGAAAGAGGATACATGTGTGCAGAGCTGTAAGCATGATTTACAACATTTACAAACACCCCAGAGAAAGTTAAGGGTTGATAAGCTGGAGATGGCGCTGTGAAAGCAACAGGGCAGGCCTTCGGACATAGGACATTATAAACGAGACAAATGCACGTTTTAGCCAAATCTGATAAAGAACACATCAAACACTACAGTGAGAGCCCATTTGCTCTCAGTTCTCCTGCTGTTATGGGGAGGGGCTCTAGTTCTGTGGCACACTGAGGTCAGAGGTTTTATAGTCCTGGAGCTCTCACAGGAACCAGACAGGAAGTGCAGGAAAAAACTGTGTACATATATATGACACACCAGCACTTTAGTGAAGTTTGCACATGGACTTCAGAGGCTGGAATGACCGACCCCTTTTCCTGTGTCTTCCTCTACTGCGATTATTTTATTTGTCAGAGCAGTTCTCTACAATAATGAGCTCAACCCGACATCCCTGTGCCACTTAGCTGAATAACCGAGTACAAATCACAAAAGCACAGAGGAGCAATGTCCTGTGTAGCTCCAGCTAAAGACAATCCAAACCAAGAACGAGACTTTACAGCGCTAAACATTTAGCATAGCACTAGAACATCAGTCTGTCCCTACTGTTGGATTCATCAGGTCTCAGAAATGTTTTCTCCATCAAATGTTGCTTTTAAAACTGTCGGAATGATCATAAGGACCCGACGATGCAAGGCCCTTCCTCAAATTCAGCCAACCCTAAACAGAGGAGGGAATGCCCATCAGTGAGTGTTGATCAGCTCCGAAGCACAGCTGGGGGCCCAGTGTTCCCAGACAGTTTATATTTAGACGCTAGGTTTTTGTAATTGAATGGAATCTAAATTGACCAGACAAGACCCTGACACTGTTGGTGGCAAAGTGGCAGTAAAGCACACTTGGGTTCAGTCAGGGGACAGTCTGGTAGGGCGGGAGAAGGGTGGGGGCCGCCGAGCACGAGGCCAGGCCAGGCGGGGTGAGGGTGCAGGAGTGGGCATCGTATCCGGAATGGGGCTGGGCGCATAGCGGCCTGGTGGTCTGGCTGGCTGGTCGGGCAGAGGGAGCAGACTGGTAGGGGGTAAACACTGGACTGTCTGGCCTGGCAAAAGCGTTTGTGCCAACGCAAAGCACCCAGCTGTGTTCAGGCCCCAGGCGAGGGTTTGTCAAGATGCAACAATGGGCTTTCCCTCCTCTAATTATAGTCCTGGCTGAGTACACACAGAGGAAACAAGAGTGACCTAGAAGTTGGGGAGGCTGGCTAGAGCCCAAAGGTCACAGGCCAAAGTTCTTGCCATCACCGCTACAGTGTCCCTTAGCAAAAGATCAGATCTAGAATATATAAAAATGGCCAGCTCATTAGGACTCTGCTCTGACCTGGTCCACTAAGCGGAAGGTGTGGGTTTCTCTAACTTGGGGTGTCCCCGTGGCTCAGTTGGCTAAGACACATCCCGCGTAACCACAACATTGTGCATCTGAATCTGACACTGGTGCATACTGTATCCTCCATTCATCCCGTCTCTCCTGTGTTTTTATTTTTTCTTTTAAACATGGTATGAAGGAACAAGCTGACGGGAACGACTGAACAAAAACTATCAACCTCGTTCCGATTCGCTCTCTTTCTTCTGAAAATGCACCTGCTTGTATTAAATTGCTGATCTAATGTTACGGACATGATTCGTATGCTTACAGAAAAGGCAAACACACATTCAGCTTTACGTTTATAGAAAACTGTCAGAATCAAAAACCAGGAGGGGAAATGACTGATGTTTGTGACCTTGTCAGGTTTTTGCTTGTACTTCTAGTACTACAGCCTACTACCTACCATTAAAAATCTGATAGACTGAAAACATATCTGTTTTACCATCTGTTTAAATGTATTATTCACGTGCCATTTCTTCCACTTGTGCTTCTGAAACTCAAGCGTGGGCACGTCGCCACGATAAGGACTACTTAGCTGATGAAATCCAGTTAATGAGTTCTGAGCATAACATTAGTTTTCAGGTCTCAGTGTATGTCAGCTAGAAACCATCATCAAACAAAGTGCACCATTAGGATGTTTATATGGCACGTGGGCTTCTGATATTAGGAATGGCTGCTCTCTTTCTGTCACCAGGAATGTACAGGATAAATGAGACTATGGACAACACTCCCTTATTTCATCCTCTGGGGAATGTTGGTACATTCCATTAAGAGGAACACTTAATTAAAGCACGATAAAATACCACTGGAGGTGCCTGGGCACTGGAGGAAGGGAGGGCGGGAGGATAGGGATTGGGGAGGGATCACTACACTCTTGTTCTGACCACAATGGGAAGTAAGAAGCAAAATAAAACTAAACCATCCTCCCATGAATTGTCTCAGTGACTGCACTATATCAAAGCTAAACCCTTAAAGGGATTTTCATCAAATGCAAGGAAATAACTTTTCTTTACTCGCATGTTGACAGGTGACAATCTATTGTAATTTTAGGCAAATAGTAATCAAATTATTAGCTATTTGTGCCCCAAGATGGCAAAATCCAAGGTGTTTTTTTGGGCTCTGAATATCAAAGAGTATTGCTAGCTTCTAATTTACAGTGAATTACGGTGTCAAAGTGACTCACCTGCATTGTTAAATGCTGATTTTCATTTTATTGCATGGTTCAACAAACCTGCAGTAGCACAGTAAAGAGCAAGGTGCTGTAATATATTAACTTTCTGAAAGGATAGTCATTGGATGTACATTAACGGGAAACAAAAGGCAAATTCAGAAACTAACACGGTGGCAAAACGGAAACTTGAAAACATAAAAAAGCAGTTCTTTACCTTTCCAAGCACCGTGAGACAACTGGGGTCCAACTCCGGCTGCTCCAGCTTCACCACACCAACCCAGCCATACTCGTATAGGTCCTCTTCATCATTATTATTACATAGTCCCAAAGGATGCATCTGGAAAGACAATAAGATGGAGAAATAAATATTTGTCTCTATGCTACGGAGCTAGTATCACATTAGAAAAGTCAGAATGTGCAACCTTCAAGATTAAAAAATAAAATGTGCATCCGACATACATGATGTATCAAGTTTCAGGGTCTTGGCATCCCCACGTTCTGAATTTGACTCACAAAGAGGTAAATTACAAGCTTAAAGCTGCACAAACATCTCTTGGATGCATTCCTCATATTTATAGGGAATATAATGTTCTTTTAACCTATGATGAAATTTAAAAGCATTAGGCACCTGAGCTATTCTCTGTGTGCTTAACTTATCCAGAATCTAAACATACAGAAGACCTTTTAAAGAACAGCAGCAACATAAGCAAAATCAGGATTTATGTGCTTTCATGGATCTGCTGATCAGGCACATTTTTACTGAATTTCTACTTAGGGAAAGGTGCATTAAGTCTACTACCATTGTTACTGCTGGAAATGATTAATGCTGCTGCCATTTCTATTGTGCTTGTGCATACATGCACAGTGACTGGTTACATTGCATCTTCTCTTCTTAAATTGGAAAGTGAATGTTGACATTTTCTTCGAGCAGCATCAAACATTGTCTATCAGGTAACTTCAGGTGTCAACGCATACACAAGGTCACTAATATGCACCAGTTCTTTGCTTTGCAGAGCAAGCACATACACATTGTTTACATATAAAGGAGGGCATAAATCACTGATTGATGAAGAAGGTTGGAAAAATGCAAAGTGGAATATTTTCAAAGAATAAGAACAAAACAAAAAAACAAATTCTGTTCTACAGTTTGACATCAGGAGATGGCTAAAAGCTAATCCAATCACCAATCTTGTGGATGTGCTAGAATGCACTCCCAAAAGATGTGTACGTCATGAGGAAAATTAAAAGATGATAAAAAACAAAACAAAAAACAAAACAAATTCATTCTAAGCGTGTAATTACAGGTTATTATATTTTTATTACATTTTATGTGTTATTAAGTGTCCTTCTTTTTCTTCACATACCCACAAAAATATAAAAGCTCTCCAGCACAAAGCATCAAGAAACCAAAAAAGGAATGGCCAGAGGACAGCCATGACTGTCAGGCTGTAATTATCAGGAAAAAGAAAAAAGAGAAAGAAAAAAAATCGGATTAAAAACTGTAACCAAGTGGAGTCACCAAAATCCTGGATCAATTCCCCACCTTGGCAACACAGCAAAGACAAGCTCGCGTATTAGCATTAGAACTGGGCCAAATGACCTGCAGGCCGCTTTCATATTAACCCAGTGACCACGGCACCCCAATCTGTGGCTCCGAGCCTTAGGCTACTCTGGGCCGGGGGCTACTGCTGATGACCCAAGATACCCTTCTTCCACTGGTGAACCCTGACCTTTGAACCCCACTTCATCGCAGAGGGAGCAGGTTGGTTGTGCAGCAGGCCAATTGAAGAGAAATTCAGAAAGTGCCCAGTCACTGCAGTTCCACAACCCTGAGAGGTCAAGCCCCTGACCTGAAGGGGTTTTGGGGGAGGACTTAGCTAATAGTAATGGGGTCAAATGCAAATCAAGTGGACTAAGTTCGAGTCACAGGAAAGGAATGTGGACAACGTGCATCATGCTAGAGCTCCACAAGGTAGCATCTTCTCTTTCTGCCTTTAGGGAGGAAATCTGAATAAGAGGCATCGGCTTTAATAGCACGAAAGCAGACAGCAGAAATCATTTGCTTTTTGAGGTATCAAGGTTAGAATTACATTTAGAAAAACCTAATATGCTCAATTTATGCTCTTTATTTGCATTCCTAGATTGTACTAAAGTAACTTTTGATTATTAAACTTTAGGGATGGTTGATATGGCCCAAACAGAATATCATGAAATTTTCTCACGACAACGATAAATTTTACGATATGACAAATTACAAAACTACAAAACTTCAACTTCACAACTTTATTAACCTCATTCTACATGACCCATGTGAGCATAATCCACTGCCTAACGGGGCGACATGTTTACACCATGAAATTAGCATATCATGATATAGTTTTTTGGGACTTTAGAGCAATCTGAAGCCTGATTTAGGCTTCTAATAATTACTTGTATATCCGCTGAACTCATTTGAAACTTTGGCCATTTTTAACATAAGCGTCTACCATTGTTAACATGTCTGACAGAAAGTAAGTATAAGTCTCCTTTCATACTACATACACTTACTTTTCCACGTTTTCTCTCTTATAGCCTGAATTACACCTTTACAGGAAAAAAAAAAAATCCTCATCCTTGAATCCTCCTCCTCCTCCTCAGACCTCCCACACACAGACAAAAGTACGTGTGCTCAAACATGAAAGCTTAAGCTCCAACATTCAATCACAACCCTTTGAAACAAGTGGATCATTCTTGCAACAGCGCGCAAACACATAAAAAGTCATCACCAAGCGAGGCTTTCCTGACTCAAAACACCTTTTTACACATCCACAGGATGCAGTCACCTTGTCTTTCTGATTTCACATAAAACAGATTTTCAAAGCTGCCCTTTCTCTCGTTGTAGAGCAAAGCTTGCTCGGGTTGACCGTTCGCCTTAGGCTGACAGGAGCAGGCAGGCGGAGCAGGTATACATTACATACACATTTGGTATGATAATTTTAAAGCATATTTTCCCTCTCAACTTTTGGAGGACGGCAAAATTGAAGGGAAAGACAAAGATTAAAGTGCGTAACTTGGTAAGTTTTCCATTCAACCAGCATCTCCCGACCTGCCCCCCTCCACATGTCATCACTGTACAAATCATACCATCTCATCTGCTCTGTGCATACCGCACACTGCAGTCAACTAAGGTAACATTTTAGATGTTATGTTAGATAAGGTGCAAGCGTGCAGATGGGAAAGACTCAGAGATAGTGTTGTGGTGGATCTACATGAGGACCGGGAAGCGTAGCCCTGCTTGCACTGTGATTATGACCTCCCTCTCTGGCTTGTCTAACAGCTTGGATGGTGGTGGGGAGCCCCGCCTGCGCCCCTGGTCCCTAAACACTAGGCCATTGTGCGGGGGCACTTGGACTCCAAATGGGACAGTGTTGTTGTTGTGCACCATGTTGTTATTTTAGAGGCTGGCCATTGCACCATTATCTCCACCACAGAGACTTTTTTTTTTCTTTTCTCAGATGTTGACGTATATGCGTTGATGGATGTGGGGATGGGGAGCAAAAGGAAAAGGAGCTCGGACTTGGATGAGAGATGAGAGGTGATCTTGCGAAGTGGGTCACAGCTACTGGCCGAGCAGACAAAAGATTAACGAGCACATATGCAAACGTGCGTTCACGCACACGCGCAGTTCAACGAACACACAATAAGACAGAGACTGTTCTCTCTTGTGTTCCAACTGCTAGCTTTCCCTGCAAGGCCCCAAAAATCAAACCAGCTCAGCCTGCTGGAAGCACCGAAGTGCTCCACTTTGCTCCGTTGCTTCGTACCCCAGGTTTGGAGGAAAGGCATAAGGCACTCCCTAAGTACCACAAGGGGGCGTCTCTTGTTCTACCCCATCTGTCCTGCCCCTTGGGGAGGCAGCCTTTCACATGAATATCTTGTTACACAAGCCACACTCGCAATAAAGTCCTGGCGGGGATTTGAACTTGGCTTGTCACTCAAGCTAGTCACAGCCCGGCACCGACCAATCTTACACCTCCGTCTGGAGAACCACCTGCAGACATTGTTAATATTCAGCACTGGTATAAAATGGAAATTGACGCAAACTTTGTTGTAGCAGTGCACCAGTTCACTCTGGTTGTTATAGCAACACTGGATGAATACATTTCATACTTTAATCTAAATATTTTCAAACACTTTCACACATTATGACTCATAAGAACATCACACAATCATCTTTCACTCAGAGATCCTTAATGGTCAAACAAGTGACCTGATAACTGTTGGTAATGGGATCAAAACAGAGCCGTGCTCCTTAAAACTCCCACCATCACCACTCGCACCCCCCAAGCTCTCAAAGGAAATCAAAATGCAAGTCACACCACTCAATGCCATTCTTCCCACTCTGTCTGTGACACAATTCGCTCAGCCTTTGATCGTACAACAACCACTTCTGCTGCTTCCCCATCCCGCTTCCCTCCCCTCCCCTTTGCCACACCCCTTTTCCCTCTCTCCTTCTAAATTATTGGTGGCCCCAGTTACAGCCCCCCATTACCCCTTTTCCCTCTTACACGTCCAAGACAGTCGCCCTACCTTGCCCTCGCCACACTATATTGTGCTTCTGTGAAAGTGGTAGTTACATTTTTTTCCCCTGTGCTGTGTATTAATGTGCTTTTTACAAATTCCATTCCCTCTGGTATCCTAACAAGATGAAAAATAGGAATGCTCAACATAAAAAGGTCATAATCAGCACTTTAACTCAACTTAAAAAAAAATAAAAAAATCCTGTTTATAACTCTTTCCAATCTATTTTTGACACAGAAAAATAAAAGGCTTTTTATTTTTTGCGACAAAGCACAAACTTCAAAAAGATTACTCTCCAATCGTGCTTTTAGCACCACCAGCAAGGAAAGCCTTGTGAACTGGAGGGGAGCTGATGCTCACAGGGTACCAGAATCTAAAATTCCAAAAGAAGCTGCTGAATTGCATGTTTATTTAAAGTGATGCACTTGCTTGAAAATGGTGCATTACAACAAGCCATCCATACTACAGCACGGCAGGAGCCAAAAAACATCAAAAGCAAGTAGGAGGGGATGATCCCTACATCTATACATGTTTATAGACTTGCATGTACTGTCTGTTCTTGACACCAATATTTTACTCAATCTGAATTCCAACACTTCCTTTAATGAGCTACAGGCCGCAGACAATAAGCCTCGGTTACAACAAAGTGGAAGTGCACAACAGTTTGTATTTGAAGTTCTTGAAGCTGGCTAAATGATTAACCATGCAGATCTCTCGTTTACCGATTCCACCTATAAGTTTTGGAAGAGGAGCTGGCACCAATTTCACAAGCACACA